TGCAAACAGTCGCTCATCTGCTTTCTTTATTTTATTAGTAACCAATGAAAAACCATGAAGTAGAGAGTCAGTCCAGTGACGACGGGCAGTGGAATCCGTTCCTGCCCGTCGTCAAGTGACGACGGGCAGTGGAATCCGTTCCTGCCCGTCGTCACTTGACGACGGGCAGTGGAATCCGTTCCAGCCCGTCGTCACTTGACGACGGGCAGTGGATCCAGTTCCATCACCTTTGAGCAGGCAGGACCGCGCTTTCCAGCCCGCGCTGTTTCATCTGTCATTGGTCAACTCCAAGGCGACAATCACGTGACATACGGGAATAAATGATTTACAGCACCTCGTACGCGCTCGTACACGGGCAATACCGGCTTGATACATGACCTCACGGCTGGCGCCGTTCGGTCATGTATGAGCCGGTATTGCCCTTGTACTCGCTTGTACTCGGGCTGTAAATCATACATACACCTTCGTACACACATTTCCTGCGCTTTATCTGCTGAGCTGTTGCATACCCACTTTTTCAGTGCATTTCTCTTTGTCGGTTGTACCTGCAAATTTAGATGCTCAATTGCATACGGCTGTTGTGCGTTTTTTACACATTATGCTCTCGCTTGCTTTCGTTACAAAAGCCCAGGCTCGCTCCTTGTACATTGTTCTGACGATGGGTGACTGCCCCGAAACGTCGATAATCTTGCAACATCGTAAATAAAATAATTTTCATCTAAAAAGTGAAAAGCAACTAAATAGAGCGGTTGTCAGTTGACAAACCTCCTTTTATTTACAATGCAGTTGTGTGATGTCCACCACTTTCTGGGCTACCAATTAAAGGCCGGATAATCTCGAGTCAGAGTTAGCATCAATAAGAACAAAAACGACTGACGTGATACTGACATGCACCGAACCGATGTTTAGCTGCATCACGTTGTGAATGCGCAAACTAGCAGCCTTTTAACTTGGAAGGTTATCAGTTATGGAGCAACGTGATAACTCTTGTGGCCTCATGCCCCCCCCCCCCAAAGCACGTGGCAAAGCTGGCCACTCGTCTCCAGATGAGGCTGGTTTTGTCCTGGCAACAGGAAAACATACGTTCACTCCCAAAGTTCTGACCGGCACGCGTCCCCCATCCCCGGACCCTCAAGTCGCCTGGGAACACCAAGCCTCAGCGCGTGAGATGCAGCAAGTGGCTGATCGAGTGAACAGCCGCAGAGGCAGACGCTAAGTAGATAAGTAAACTTTCTGTTTTGTGTTTGGTGCAGTCTTATGTCAGGATGCCCCCTTTCCTTCTCTAATATTACCACATTTACTCTTAATCCCAATGCCAATTCATTTTTCCCTCGCGCTATTGTGCAACCCCCCCCCCCCCCCCCCCCGCACCACAGCTGCGTCTACTGGGTGAGATTCGGGTCGGTTTCTTAAACATCTGCAGTCTTCGACACAAGGTTGCAGAGCTAGAAGACCTTATTAACCTGCATATGTGGGATGTATTTGCCCTTTGCGAGACGTGGTTGAACAGCACCATATCTGATAATGAGATCCACATTCCTGGTTACTGTGTTGTCCGCTGCAACCGCTATGGCCGCCAGGAAGGAGGAGTATGCATTTTCTACAAATCAACGCTCCCTGTGTCTCACCGTCCTGATCTCCACGTAGACGGCCTTGAAGGCACCTGGATTTCGGTAAACAGACGTGGTCGCCAGCATCTCATAGGCTGCATGTACCGCCCGCCCGACTCAACAGTCACCTATTGGGAAAGACTTGATGGAGCGCTTCATAAAGCAGCATTGTTGACACCATCTATGACTGTGCTTGGAGACTTCAATTTCGATGTCGGAGCCGGCACAACATCCCCGCACTATCAGCGCTTCTCAGATTTGGTAGCATCTTATGGCCTCAGAAACCTGGTCACAACTGCCACTAGGACCACACCCCAGTGCCCCAATGGCAAGATCATCGATTTGATCCTCACAAGTTGAGATGATGCCCGGAGTTGCGCCGTAGTGCCGTCTACGCTCAGCGACCATGATGCCGTTCAGGTCCGCTTGGGCCTGCACGTTCAAGTGCCCAGACAAGCATGTAACTCGAGGAAGCCATTCCGCAACGTACGTAGAATCCACATACCTGATTTCCGAGACGACCTTGATGCAGCACACCTTGATACCTGGCCCCCGAACACTACAGTTGATGACATGTGGTCAATTTGGCACTACAAACTCTTGGCGATCCTCGACAAGCATGCTCCTCTCCAGTGTTCTTCTGCCAAGCGGAAGCAGCTACCACCCTGGTCGGATCGGCACCTCTTCCAGCTCACCCAGCGCAAGAATCGGCTGCATAGGCGGTGGCGGGGAGACAAAGCAAACGCTGCGCTCCACACTGCATTCAAGCGCGCCCGCGCGGAAGCTAGAAATGCATACCGACAGAAGCGAAACACTTACTTCCAGGGACAATGTACCGCAAACGCAGGAAACACCAAGAAGCTTTGGCGTACCATTAACAAAGTCACCTGTAGAGACCGTCCCCTTGTTGAACCCTCTTGTACGATCGAAGATGTCGCCTCAGCCTTCCACAAGGTGGTTACTGATGACTGTCGAGCGCAAACGTTGTCTGCTCCCCTCGGGCCTCCACCCCGCACTTCCCTCCCCAAGTTCTCACACGTCAGTAGGGAGGTTTAGTCGCACGTAATCCGTGGGTACTTTACGTGTGTGTACCACGTGATACTCAGTGACCCACGTACAGACGTTTTCTGATTCACGACATACCGTGTATGGAAGCTCACCCACGTTCCGCCAAAACGTGGGTGAAAATCAGAATGGAGCGCATTGTGCGAGCTGTGAGGGTGCTCCACTGAAGAATTTTCCGAAGCACGAAATCAAAATATTGGATGAGCTTAGTAGGCCCGGGTAGCTTCGTCTTTGACCAGGTTTGGGCCTTTCGCTTTATGCTTTTGTTTGTTCCGTGTGACTAAACACAACATTGCAACGTGGGTGCCCTTCATCGACTTTACGTGGATCACCCACGTACACGTTTCCGTTACGTGGGAACTAAACCTCCCTAGTATCGGTGCTGTTGAACGGCTACTCCAGCAAGTTAATCCCGTGAAGGCAACAGGCAGCGATGGCGTACCAGGGGCAGTCCTCAAACTCTGCTCTGACGTCTTGGCGCCGTCTGTCACTAGCCTGTTCAATGCCTCGGTGTCGTGCGGACATGTGCCCTCGGCGTTCAAGCTAGCTAATGTCATCCCACTGCATAAATCTGGTGATCCATCGCTGCCAACTAACTTCCTCCCTGTATCCCTTCTACCCATACTCTCCAAGCTGCTAGAGAAGTTGGTTCAGAAGGAGCTCATCACCTTCCTGGACATAACAGCATCGTTACCAACAACCCAGTTTGCGTTCAGGCGTGGCCACTCTACCGAAGACGCATTAGTCCTTATGTCAAACCGCATCCTAACAGCCAAGGACCAGGGCCTATTCACAGGAGTATGCCTGTTAGACATGTCCAAAGCCTTCGATAAAGTCCAACATGACACGCTATTGCAGGATCTCCACAGTGTTGGGGTGTCCGGTACTGCCTTGGACTGGTTCGCCAGCTACCTATCCGGTCGCACTCAACGTGTCTGTCTGGGGTCGCGGACTAGCTCTATATCAGTTTGCACGAGTGGTGTCCCCCAAGGTTCGGTGCTGGGCCCCATTCTGTTCAGCCTTTACACCCGCGAGGTCCCCGCTGTAGTTGGCCAGTCCGAGTCAGTTCAATTCGCGGACGACATTGCGCTCGCGTGCAGCCGGCGAACAGCACAGGAGGTATCCGATGTCTTATCTGCTTCTGTTTCAATCCTTGCAGACTGGCTGAAGGATCGAGGCCTGATCCTCAATGCTGGCAAGAGACAAGTCGTGCCAATTCCTGCCGGCCGTCAGCACACAGTGGATCTACAGGTCGTCTGCCATGACACTTCACTGCCTAGTGTGCCAAGTGCTCGTTATCTTGGCGCCACAATCGATTCCGGCATGTCCTGGCACGCCCACATTGCCAAATGTTCTGCACGCGTGTCGCAGAAGATGGGAGCACTCTGGCGAATGCGCCGCTGCCTGAATCACCAGTCACGCATGACCTACTTTAGATCGCTGATCATGTCTGACCTGCTGTATGCCTCAAACGCGTACTCTAGCTCACTGCAAAGAAGGTACCTCGACCGTCTACAGGTCCTGCAGAACAGCGGGGCTCGTGCTGTCTTTGGCCGCCCTCCGTGGTCCTCTGCCCGCGACCTGCTGGAGCGCATTGCAGTGTTCCGTGTGGCAGAAGTCTTCAATCAGAAGCTAGCATACCTGGTGTGGCGCTGTCGTTATGCACTAGCAAGTCCAGAGTTGCAAGCCCTGCGAACCCCCGCTGCACCCGGCCCTACTCGGCTCCAATCTGCCATGGGCCTGTGCGTGCCAGTTTCCCGTTCGGTTGCGGGGCGGGGGCGCTTTGCTTGCAAGGTGCTGTATTTTGGAATGCCCTCCCCAGCGACATCCGTGCCATCCATCACGCTCGGCAGTTTCGCACGCAGGTAATCCCCTATACCTGCGCCCTGCAGATGTCGACAAGCGAAATCTGATTTTTTCTGTTCTCTTTCTGTTGTACCCGATCTCCCTCTGATGTACCACTGACTCTACGTTGAAGATCAAAGTATTTGAATTCTCATTCTCATTATGATTTTCATATTCGCTTTCATGTTATTGGGTTCTATGCCTGTTTGAACTTGCGAATCAAAATAAATACAAACAAACAAACAAACATGCCCTCGAGGAGGAAGCTTTGACTTTTGTCCCTCATGCATCCCCTCATCATTCTCGTGTTTTGGTTGGAGTTTGAGTAGTACGCTATCTCCTTGGAACATGCGCGTAAACCTGAACGCTGGTGGTTGTGTCACTCACATGTATGCATACTCATATCCACATGCAAGCACAACCATACACATAGAACTAGGATTACACTTGATGGAAACCAGCTATTCAACTAATCTCTTATGTGGTTGAATCACAAAAATTAATCTTCCTACACAAACATATGAGAGGGAGACCGTGATTACATCAAAAGCTGGCGGTGGGCCTCCATGCTTACAAATGTAATTTTTTGCATATTAACCCTCTGTAGATCACATATTGAATATACCGGGTGGATAATAAATGGAAACGAAAAGTTCGTGAACATCATGCTAGGAATTTCAATTCAAAGCAGAGAAGCCAAAACAACTATCAGCACTGCCATGGGTCACATGATCAGTGTCATAATTGCCAAGGTAAATGTAACCATGGTGATACAAATGGTGGGAAGGAGGAATGGGCCGCTCTTGGGCATCCCGGGTGAATCACTGGTAACAGTTGCGCCAACACCTTCCAGGTTGAGAAGAGGGGCATGGGCAGAAAAGAAGAGAGAAACACAAGTAAGTACATATATTTCAGCTATGACTAGAGTACAATCTGTATGTGTACATTTATCACTCTTCTATATCGCCCTCCACTAATGGGGCTGTTAAGTGATGACGTCACAGTTCCTTCAATACGCATAACAACGATCCCACTGGGGACAAACAAAAGTAGCGTCGTCTCCACCGAACCAGTTGTCAGTGGCAACATATAGGAATCGTGTACATTTCTTCGTTTCTTCTTTGCTGTTTTCAGTGAGTGTTTTGTTTTCTCTTTGTCCTTGATCTCGACGATGTTGTCGTGCTCATTACCTTACTGAGACGTCTCTTGTGACTGTAGCCAGTGTCACGGAGGATTTTATTGGCGTGACAAGGTAGATCGCCGAGATCGAGCGTGAAAAACGCTCTGCATTAGTAGCTCCTGTAGAATGTTTTCTGGGATGGCGTATCCATGGTCAACAAAACCAAGGTGCAAGACAGCATGAGAGATCGTGTAAACGATGTGAACTCCAAAAGGTAAGCTCCTGAACAAGTGGAAAGATATAGGTATTTACAAACTCTCTCTTCATCCATCGATTGCCGCTATGCATTGCATTTTGCCTTCACAGATAATCTGGCCAAATTTATTGTAACTAGAGAGTGCAATCGTGCTTGGGGCCCATCCCAATGTCATCACATGGCTGTGGTGACTAGTGTATATCTGGGAGAATTTTTCCTTGACTGATACGGAGTGCAGGTGGATCGATTATGAGAAATGCGAACATGTGAAGTAAGTAATTAGTTGTCGAACAAATGTGCAATAAAATAAAATTTACTTTACACTCAAACATACACTGTAGATGTACATGTAACATCATGATAATGATTCCATCTTCATTGTCCCGCAACTGGTACACCATACGCACCGAATACATGGTGTGTGTGTGCGTGCGCATGTACATGCACACACTCTCATGCGTGGCCGAGTCGGCCAGATGAACAGACCATGCATTTGCACGAGGTGTCCGTAATGTCATTGGAATGCTGTACTTTATGACTTTATTCCAAAAGAGTATGTCTTGCCCCTGACGAATGGAGTTGTGTCTGTGCTCGGCGGGTATCGGGCTATGACGCAACACTGCAATCAGTGCTGCAATTAAAAGAGCACTGCATGGATTATTTTGACTAACTTCCTTTGCGTTTACTTGGTTGAGCCCATGGTTTCATTTCTGTGTTCTGTCATGATTGGCCTCTGGAAATAATCAGAGTGGATGTCATTTTGCCATATATGTGTGCCTTGTGCGACAGGTTCAAGGCTAGATGCACTTCAAATTCGGCGTGCGATCTCAGCGTCTGGGACCTGATGAAGTCTTGGTTGGATGATTATTCAAGCCTGACACTACTCGACACACCAATGTACATGTCAATGTAATTTTTCAGAGCTGCACTATTTACGTGTTGATGCTTACTTCGGTGTTAGCGTGTTTCCCCCGGATTGTTTCTATCATCATGATCGTGTGTTCTTGGGCTGAGCGAGCACATGCACAAGTGTGCAGCTATAACCCTGTGTATCTTTGGTTACACTTTGTTCTGCAATGCATGTACCTTGTAACATTATGTGCTTGCACTGATTTGTCTGGCCTGCGTATTTCAAGACTATTCAGTGCATTAGACTCAGGTTTGTTTGGTTGCCGGATGATCTCTTGTTGCGTCGCTCTGTATTTGTATTCATCAATTTTTGGGCTTGAGAATTGAGCTGTTGTGTGGTTCCCAATATGAAAACATCATGCTGGTGCTCTGTGTTTCGATTATCGACTGTCGGAGCAGTCATGCATTTATTAGCAGAACGGTCAATACTGTAGTCTTTTCACGTGTTTGTCTTTTCGCCGGGGGTATTAGCGGTAACGCTGCACACAGAACGGCAGTGTTGCATCACTGGACGACCCTGCCTCTGCATCTGACTTAATTTCCCCAGGATCTGGTGCAGTTACACCAGACAGTCACTTCCTGTAAACACGCAAACAGCAAACGAAGAGATCCCGCAAATCAGGAAAAACCATTGTGGAAAATATAGAGTAGATCATACAACATTCAATAATCTGGAGTAATTACAGTGAGACAAACACTTCAAACAGTGATCTCTCTCTGTGTCTTTCTCTGTCTCCATCCTTCCAAAATACCCTATGATAATTCCTTAGAATTATTTCATTTTATATTCTTAGGACATCATTCTGAACATAATAAATTCTTCCATGGGTCTTCAATCACCACGGAGGGCGAAAATATATCTAAGTCATGCAGTTCACGGGAGGTGCGAGCTGTCATGGATATAGAAGCTGATATTGTGTCAGCGTGAGGGCAGAGACAGAAAGAAGACACTGATTTCTTGAACAACTCACCTATATATAATCGAATCCACAAGGAGCGCTCATACTTTGATCCATCAGGACGCGAAACATCTTCAAAGCACTCTCAAACACGGAGTTTTACTGTGGGCAGCCAATTTCACAGCCATCATGAAGGCACTCGACGACTACAGGAGTTTTGTAGAGGAAAGAACAAGGAGTAAAGAGCGACAACAATCGCTTGAAGAAAAAGCAAAGAAAAACTGCTGTCTCTCCAGTCATTTAGATGCTGTTGCCCTTGACATCTGGTTCCATCCAGAGGACGCGACTTTTGTTTGTCCCCAGTTCTCTCCGTTGCTATGCGTATCGAAGGAGCCGTGACGTCACACTTAACAGCCCCATTCTTGTGATCCTTGACTGGTCCTATATTACCCACATAGCCACAATATCGACTGTTCTATATTGACTGTTTATATTGACCACTTTACGCATTGGAATCTTTCGACTTTGGAGAGACTTAAGCGGGATTCCCAGAAGCTTTTTTTGCGATGCAACATGCGATGCGACGCGATCTGCGACGGACGCGTGCGATGCGAACTTGCGAAATACCATTCACAGAAGAAGTCAGTGATGCGACAACGCCTTGCTGATTTGGGTACGTCACAATGATATCCGCGCGGTTTGATACAACGTGTACAAATTTATAGGCAACTCTTGAACCTTTGTACAACTTTGCTGTAGAAAAGGTCAAAATCATACGCCAAATCGCTTGTCGCATCGCATCGCATCGCAAAAGTTGAGCCAAGCTCAACTTCTGCGATGGCCTGCGATGGCCCAGTTGCGGCAGTTGCGTGGGGTGCGACATGGCTGCGATTTGGGGTTTTCCCGGTTTCGCGCGTGTCGGATCGAGCGTCGCATCGCAAAACAGCTTCTGTGAATCCCGCATTAGAGATGTTCTCTCCATTTCAAAAAGAAAACCTGAAGAAAATAAAACAAGGAAAGAGAAGAAGTAGAATTCGAACCTGCAACACACACCTGCTGACACAGCCTGGCACACAGACAAGACACACTCAGTGGACAAGGAAACAGAGTGCTCTGACGCAGGGGATGCTACCCGTGCACTCCAGCCTTTCAAGACCTCCAAGCCCATTGAGTCCTGCACCATCACAGGCAACTCTTGGAAGTTGGTCTCTGCAGGACCACCAAAGACCAAGCGTTCTGTTGTTTACGTTGGAAACATCACCCCTGACTGAAAAGAGGCCCGCGTCAAACAGTGCATCGTGGGCAGAAGCCAACGTACACTTCCTGGCTTTCCCATTCATGTGCACACCTGCAGCATACATTTGATAGAAAGTGGGAAAGCATCTGCTAGAGTCACCATAGATGCAACTTGACATTTTGTGGTGACTGCCCACAACTTCTGGCCCAGACCCTCTACTAAAGACTGCGGAAATTCTCCAAGAGCAGCCCTGGCAATGACAGCGACAGTATCAGAGGCAGTGGTGACAGCAGTAATGCCAGTGGGAAGAACAGCTATGGAGGCGGTCGCAGCAGCAGCCGTATTAGCGACAGCAGTGACAGCCGTATTGCTGACACAGTGAACAACAGCAACAGCAGCAGCGATGCAGCAGCAACTGAAACAACGGACTCCTATGACTCGGCCATTATCCCACACCTAGGTGAGCGAAAGAACAGGAAACGTGCCAACTAAGACTCGCCTTTCACGCTGGCACCAAGCTCCAAGCTGGTCAATACAGAAGAATGATCCTCAGTTGGAAGCACAGGGAAGTAGTAAGTCCGGGGCGCGTTCTGGGCAACTTTTTGACCTTTGACCTTTGGGTCAAATAAGGCGCACTGTGTCGGGCGCGCTTGGTCTGGCCCCGGGACTCCCCAGGGTTTGACCTTCGACCCCTGGCATGCCATAAATGTCATCCTTAAGGTTCTTTTCGCCATAGGTGGCGAACGTGCACTCGTGCACGTTCGATGCATTCGTGCATTCTCACCAGGGAGTAGTAAAATACTTACTATTCCCTGATTCGCACATCGTAGATGTGCATTGCATGCAATGAATGACATATTGCGCATGCGCGCATACGCAGCACCGCACTTACCCTCCAACCAATCCGGCTTCAGGAAACAAGACGGGACCAAACTGCAACTCGCACGGATCGTCCACCAGATATCCACAGCTAGGGATGCGGGGAAGCATGTTGTAACGTGTTTCTTCGATCTCAGTAAAGCCTTTGATCGTGTATGGCATCAAGGCTTGCTGAAAAAGCCGAGCCACTACGGTGTCGACGGCAAGGCTCACAATTGGCTCGAAGCCTACTTGACAGGACGCAGACAGCGGGTGCAGGTTGAAGGCACAACATCCGCCTTCATACCAATACCAGCGGGAGTGCCCCAGGGCTCGGTCCTGGGACCACTTCTGCTCCTGGCGTACACCATTGACCTGCCCACTGCCTGTGAAAATGCTACAACCTCGTGTAGCCAGTTCGCGGGCGACACCGCACTAATTGCCATTGCAGGCAGCTACATTGAGTGTGAGGCTGCGCTACAAAGAAGCTCGATGCCGCAGCAGAATGGCTAGAGCGCTGGCACCTGCTAGTCAATAAAACGAAAACCGTCATCCTCCCATTCTACCATGCTAAATGACCCCCACCACGACTACCCGAAATAAAACTTGGCCAAACCCTACTAGAAACAGTAACACATCGTCACCTCGGCATCATCTTTCAGCACGACCTAAGATGGTCAGCCCACCTTGACTTTGTGCTGAAGAAAGCCGTAAAATCTTTTAATATTCTCTTTAGCCTCGAATCAACTCTACACACTAAATCACTCTCTCTCATTTACAAAACGTATATCCTGCCTATAATTGAATATGCATGCATTGCTGTCACCCCACTCTCAATCGCAGCCCTTGACCGTCTTGAGCGAATCCAGCGCAAGGCGGCCAGAATCTGCCTCCGTCTCCCCCTCTACACTCCTCTGGATCATTCAACACTGCTCCATTGGCTCAAATGGCCGACAATGTTCTCTCGCCGCAAAGTGAAGCTCACCCTTCTTGCTCACTCCATAAAATACCAATATGCCCCACACCACATACGCTTGCTCAACACCCCCGCTCAAGTTACGGCCCAGTACAGCCTTCGACACGCACGCACTTGGCACCTCCCACCCTCCAGAACCGATCGCTGTAAAGACTCCCCACTGTACAAGTCCCTAGAATACTACAATGCCCTCCCTGCTAGCATTCGTGACGTCTCCTCCCGACCTGCTTTCAAACAAGAAATCTGCTCACTGCTGATTAACTCAATCTGCTCCTGCAGCGCTCACCCTCTCCCATACTTGTAAAGTTCAAAGTGATGTAAATCACTTTCCAACTGTTTAACCCACAATCTCACCTTCTTATAAATTTATCTCTTATTGGCGATGGTGCCATCGTCAGAATAAAGAATTCAAATTCAAAAAAACAACAACAACAACAACAACAACAACTCAATATTATTACTAAACATGATCACTAGATCTAACTCGGGAAAAGAAAAATCAATATCCACCTCAGGTTGTTTCTTTTCGATCGCGCCTCCCCACATTGGTGCCTTCCAAGTTGAACAAGTTGTCGGTTTGCCCTTCGTAGATAATGGTGTTGGAGCTCGGTGTCAGGTCGTCGAATATCTCAATATCCTTGTCAGTTTTGTGCCTTGTTGTTGCACTATCTCACTGTATATTATCACGTGTGTATCATGCGATGCTTCAAAGCTACTTCATGAGAGAGAGATAAATTTAAAGAACAAGTTAAAGGTATGCACAACCAGGTAGACAGTCTGATGTAGAGACATATATACGACTTCTTGAGTGGCAAATGACATATATACGACTTCTTGAGTGGCAAATGACATATATACGACTTCTTGAGTGGCAAATGACATATATACGACTTCTTGAGTGGCAAATGACATATATACGACTTCTTGAGTGGCAAATGACCATGAAATCAGCAGATTAAAGATCAACATGGAAACCAACACCAATAGTCGTAGAGCAGCATACCTGTACATTGGCCCCCGTCTCCAGAGTAACCGACATTGCATCGGCATGTGAAGCTACCATCCATATCATTACACGTGGCATTGTTATGGCATGTATGACTTCCACCAATACATTCGTCAATATCTGCAGAAAGACAAAAGTAATCAATATTGTGGTAACTGTTGCATGTTGAAACACTTCAATACCTTGCTTAACCATTGTTGTCAGTGTGGGACAAACATTTATAACATTTCAGCCTTTGGTATAATAATCTTGACCATTCTCATATTTTGCAAACGGCAGTTAAACCTAACAATTGGAGGTATGGGCATTCGCAAAAACACCGTTATCTATTTTTAAAAGAATAATTGTCACCATCTGAGTTATGCACCCTGTGATGGCAAATGTGCCATACAGCGCCATGAATGGTCGTACGAACGCCTTATACACTGTCGTCCGGCCGGAGGGGGTGAGGATGTTGGCCGCTCTGTTTAGGACCCCAAGCCGTTGGCATGCTCGGGTGGCTACGGAGTGTAGGTGATCGCCAAAGGTCATCTTGGCGTCCACCTTCACACAAAGGAGGGTGATGCTGGTTGTCTTGGGCACCAGTGTGCCACCAAACAGGAGTGGGGGGAGATCTAAGCTGGCGCATCTGAGGGTGGCTGTCATGGCCTGGGATTCAGTTGGTTCAAAAGTTACTTTCCACGTACGGCCTCTTGAGTGGCAAATGACATAATACAGGTCGTCCCTCGGTCATACATAATCTCTGGGACTTGACAAATGTTATGTATTAACGGGGTTTATGTACTAAACGAAAGTGTACATAACTTGCCTGTGTACCAGAATTTTTCACTTTTTTCAACTTTTCTGAGTGTTTGAAAAGGCGACGAGGAGACAATAACTTTATTAATGCGATTAATAGTATAAGTGAAGCGGACATTACAAAATGATGAATGAGAATACATGTATCTAAAATGGTTGTTACTAATCGCTTTTCTTGAGACTATCATCAGGGAAAATCGTCTCACAATAGAGGCTATACGGAGAAACAAACTACTTATAGGTTATCGGATAGTGGGAAGTATACAAGGTGAGGTGTGAAAAAAAACTAAAGTGGGAGAGAAGACGAAAGAAATTAGAAGAAAAGATGTGAGAGTGTCCTGACGGTGTGAGCTAATACAAAAGGTGAGTGAAATGAAGGCGTGGAAGCAGGTGAATGTGATAGAGTGAGGAACTGTGAGGTGTAGGTGTATGCGAATCTAATCCAGACTAGAAGCTCACTAATGCCGTAGGTCATGAGGGATGCAGGGGAACCACCGCAGTAGGTAGCGAAAATGAGGGCTGAGACCTCTACAACAGGGCTTTACGTCTGAAAACAACCGCACGAATTAACAAGCAAGTTGTCAGAGAACAGGGAGAGAGACGGGCAGGCAGGCCAACAGACAGGCATATAATGAAAATATGGCGATAGTGATCCGTCTGACTTCAAGGGTTCATGCTGTGTGGAACAGCAGCAGTGCGAAGTTCGGCCTGGTGCGGTATGGCCCGCACCTCGCTGGGCAACGCATTCCAGAGCCTAGCTCCTTGGAACGCGAGACAACCCTTACCCAGCTCAGCGCGGGTTGGCGGTGGTCTTAGACTCATAGATAATTGCAGCCGAGTAGGTGGTCAACAAGATCCTCGCCTGAGTGTTTCTTGCTTATAAATTCTACTACTACTACTATTCTACTACTACCATGACTAGGGAGGGAGATATTCTTGATTCCCTCGATATAACATAAAAATTATGTTATAACGGTCACAGTCAGCAAAGATTCTACGGTTCACATGATACATGCCCAGCCGTGCGGGTACAGTCACTCGGAAAAAAGTAGAGTTTGTCGGTTTGTCATGTGCGCTTTGATTTCTGAGCTAATTTCGTTCACAAGTAGAAACTAGAACACGATGTGCCTCCACTGGAAGGCCAAAAGACGAACAAATTATGTACTATTGAGGTAGGTGGCATGCGGGTACGGAGAAATGTTATGTATTAACGGGGTTTATGTACTAACGAATTATGTACTAACCGACATAATTTGTATGGAAGTGATCACGTTTCGTCCGGGACTTGAGATTTCTTATGTACTAACAGGGTTTATGTACTAACCGGACTCGTATTAACGGGGGACGACCTGTATACGACTTCTTGAGTGGCAAATGACATATATACGACTTCTTGAGTGGCAAATGACATACATACGACTTCTTGAGTGGCAAATGACATATATACGACTTCTTGAGTGGCAAATGACAAATATACGACTTCTTGAGTGGCAGATGACATATATACGACTTCTTAAGCGGCAAATGACCATAAAATCAGCAGATTAAAGATCAACATGGAAACCAACACCAAAAGTCGTAGAGCAGCATACCTGTACATTGGCCCCCGTCTCCAGAGTAACCGACGTTGCATCGGCATGTGAAGCTACCATCCGTATCATTACACGTGGCACTGTTATGGCATGTATGACTTCCACCAACACATTCGTCAATATCTGCAGAAAGACAAAAGTAATCAATATTGTGGTAACTGTTGCATGTTGAAACACTTCAATACCTTGCTTAACCATTGCTGTCAGTGTGAGACAAACATTTATAACATTTCAGCCTTTGGTATAATAATCTTGACCATTCTCATCTTTTGCAAATGGCAGGTAAACCTAACAATTGGAGGTATGGGCATTCGCAAAAACCACGTTATCTATTTTGAAAAGAATAATTGTCACCATCTGAGGTATGCACCCTGTGATGGCAAATGTGCTAAACAGCGCCTCCTTCTGCAAGCTAAAATGCTTCCTCTGCAGTCCAATTCTTTCTTGAACAAAGTCATGAGTCGAGGAGATTGCTACCCTTAGCGCAGCCCCAATCACTTCAACGACCTTGTCCCACACTGGCCACAATCACTACAACGACCTTGTCCCACACTGGCCACAATCACTACAACGACCTTGTCCCACACTGGCCACAATCACTACAACGACCTTGTCCCACACTGGCCACAATCACTACAACGACCTTGTCCCACACTGGCCACAATCACTACAACGACCTTGTCCCACACTGGCCACAATCACTACAACGACCTTGTCCCACACTGGCCACAATCACTACAACGACCTTGTCCCACACTGGCCACAATCACTACAACGACCTTGTCCCACACTGGCCACAATCACTACAACGACCTTGTCCCACACTGGCCACAATCACTACAACGACCTTGTCCCACACTGGCCACAATCACTACAACGACCTTGTCCCACACTGGCCACATCTGTTCTACCTAACTCTTTAGGGTTTGGCATTTCTGTATTTTGCTTTCACAGACTTTCGGTGGATGTTCCTCTACAGGAGGGCACTTACATGCAGAAACAATGCCTCATATTTGCCCTTGATAAAATTACCTCGTCTGTTTGCTCCAGAGGCCGCTACTGTTGGAATTGGCACATGCCAGTAGTTCGACACATCCGTTTCAGTACTGTAGACGACGCAAGTCAGTTGGTTGCTTGTGTATGTATTTGAAATGTTTGATGCACCATACTCTGGCAAAACGTCCAGTGGAGATACTCTGCTGATCTGTTCGCCCCGATGCCATAACGTTTTCCAGAAAATGCATGATGCAACAAGGTGGACAACCATTTCCTCACGATTGTACCGATTGTACCGGTTCAGGAAGGTAATGTCAACGTGGCCTAGGTGACCATCGATGTATTAGATTAGTTGGAGGATGAATCGTTCACGTAGATCTACCACGCTTTGGAATCCACAGTCGCTCTCGCTATGCACCTATTTCAATCGCACTTGTCACCCAAAGGGTGGCTCTCATTCCATTTGTCGCTAGTTGATGATACCAAAGCTAAATGCGAGCAGTGGCACCGCGTCTATGTTTGCAGCTTTTGCTAAATTTCCAACCGTTAATCCAGACTAGAAGCTCACTAATGCCGTAGGTCATGAGGGATGCAGGGGAACCACCGCAGTAGGTAGTTCTGAGTTGTCCGAGCCACTGGCTATTGCAACTGGAAGCTGGTGGTTCCCAGGTTCTAGGAGTAGGTGTGGGCACGGTAGTTAGTAGAAACTTCTGCAGGCTCTGAAGAATCGTGCCAGGTGCCATCATCAACTGCTCCAATGTGTAACAATTGTCTTCTGGCCTATGCTTCCTTCTGTCCTTTAGTTTATATACCTTTGAGCATCAAAAGTGGTATGGGCTTGTGCATGACAAATTGCTACTAAAACTGTTAACTGCAACAGATAACTATGACGAGCACGGCACGAAACAGAAAAGCACGAATGAGAAAATGTACTGCATCGATCAGGACTAGAAACGAGAGAGCTAGGAAGCTCAGGGCCCTACGCTATGCTTTTTGCCTTGATGACCCAGACAAAAAAAAAGCATAGAGATATTATAAATTCTTATAAATTTCTCCTTTTTTTAGACATAACCTGGGATTCGAACCCGCACTATCGCCCTGCATGCATCCCCCGATACACTTCCCATACATACTAATTCTTCCAAGTTGCTTCACGTTATGATCTTGCATTTGTTGTTGTTGTTTTCTTTATTTGAATTCGCTAAAACCAAACGGACAGAACTGTCCAAGTCCAGTGACAAGGGAGCGAATGATGAGCGTCATAATCACTATGCATCAAAACATCTCAGGACAAAATGAGACAGACTATAATTAAAGCAGGGTCTGCACAACACTTGTACATAAAGGGGAGTACGAGAACAAAGGCGTGGTAGAGGGAGAGAGAGGTAGAGAGAGAGAGAGAGACAGAGAGAGAGAGAGAGAGAGAGAGAGAGACAGAGAGAGAGAGACAGAGACAGAGACAGAGAGAGACAGAGAGAGACAGAGAAACTAACAAATGAGGGCTGAGACCTCTACAACAGGGCTTTACGTCTGAAATCAACCGCACGAATTAACAAGCAAGTTGTCAGAGAACAGGGAGAGAGACGGGCAGGCAGGCCAACAGACAGGCATATAATGAAAATATGGCGATAGTGATCCGTCTGACTTCAAGGGTTCATGCTGTGTGGAACAGCAGCAGTGCGAAGTTCGGCCGGGTGCGGTATGGCCCGCACCTCGCTGGGCAACGCATTCCAGAGCCTAGCTCCTTGGAACGCGAGACAACCCTTACCCAGCTCAGCGCGGGTTGGCGGTGGTCTCAGACTCATAGATAATTGCAGCCGAGTAGGGGAGCGCCAACAGCACTTGCAGTGTGGGGCTAGCACGGGAGTAGCGGCAGCGCCCAAACCAGGAAGATGAGCTTCTGGATGAAGATCTCCTGGACACGGTAGGCGCCGAGTTGGACTAGCAGGTTTCTGGCAGAGGTGCGCGGCGAGCGTCCGTACACAGCTCGAGCCGCACGATTCTGCAGAACTTGGAGACGGTCCAGGTGCTTACCCGCCAGCGATGGTGAGAAGGCATTGGAGCCATATGAGAAATCAGGCATGATCACAGACTTGAAGTACTGGATGCGGCTTTGCATGCTGAAGCAGCGACGCATCCGCCACAGAACACCGACTTTCTTGTTGAGGCAGGCAACGCACCTATCCATCTGGGTGTTCCAAGCCATGGCGCTGTCAATGTGAACTCCGAGGTAGCGAGCAGAAGAGACAGGTGGCAGCTTAGTCGCATGACACCATACGTCCAGTTCAGGTTGCGCTTCTAGCTTCCCAGCCGGTACTACCAATGCCTGACTTTTTGATGCATTAAGGATCAAACCTCGCTGCTTCAGCCAGTCAGCAATGCATGTCACTGCTCTGGAGAGAGTGACGGTCAGTTCCTGTTGTGTTGGGCGACTGCAGGTCAGTGCAATGTCATCTGCAAACTGGATGGACTCAGCTTGCTGGGCAACAGATGGTATGTCCCGGGTGTAAAGGCTGAACAGCAGTGGACCTAATACCGATCCCTGTGGTACTCCACAGGAGCAGGCTCCCACTGTGCTAAGCTGGGATCCCAGCTGGACAATCTGGCAGCGATCGGACAAGTATGACATGAGCCACTGGAGCGCTGTTCCAGTGATACCCACACAGAAGAGATCTTCGACTAGTTGCTGGTGGCGGACCTTGTCGAACGCCTTCGACATATCCAGGAGGACCACACCCGTGAACATGCGGCGGTCTCTTGAGGCGAGGATCTTGTTCACCATCAACACAAGGGCATCCTCCGTGGAATGTCCTGTCCGGAATGCAAACTGTGTGCTGGGCAGAGAACCAGCCATATCCAGAAAGGTGACAGGTGCCTTCTGCACCACCTTCTCTAGCAGCTGCGAGAGAATTGGGAGCAGGGACACAGGACGGAAATTGTTGGCGACAGATGGATCGCCAGCCTTGTGCAATGGGGTCACATACGCACGCTTAAAGCCAGCAGGTACAGTGCCGGAGGTCAGGGACGCATTGAAAAGTGCTGCAACTGATGGTGCTAGCAGGTCGGCACAGTACTTTAGAAGTAAGCCTGGGATGCCGCCGCTCCCGGTTGCTTTGCGCGAGTCGATGCGCTTCAAAAGCTGTTCAGCATCGCAGACACGCACATGTTGGAATGAGGTCAGGGCAGACCGAGGCTGTGGACCCTGAGGCATAGAGAGCACTGAAGGTCGAGCATCATCAGAGACTACCTTGCCAAACGTGGACGCAACATGTTTCATGTCGCATGTCGGCTGGATTGATTGTCTCTTGCGTCCAGTCACAGTATTTAGGACTGACCATAACTTGTGTGGGTTTGAAAGCCCTATTTGAATATGCATTGTGGCCAGCCGTCTTTGAAGTTTGATGGTACGGTACAGGACAGGTACGGGACAGGTACGGTCGAGGATAATACGGCACCGTCTACCACCTTGATGACCTAGGCAAAAAAAGGATAAGGATGTTATAAATTCTTCAATTCTCCTTTTCTTTTTAAGCATAGCCTGGGATTCAAACCCGCACTATCGCCCTACATGCATTCCCCCCATACACTTCGCATTCATACTCATTCTTCCAAGTTGCTTCACGTTATGATCTTGCGTTTGGAAGCCCTATGTGGATGATGCAGCCAGCTGTATGTGGCCAGCTGTGTTTGATGGTAGGGTACGGTACAAGACAGATACGGGATAGTGCCAGGCGTGACACAAACACACAAACAAACACACAAATACCAAATTAAAGCTGTGTGGACCCTGGCTAGCGCCAGACGTTACTAAAGTAACGTCTTCTGCATAGGTACGGGAATAAAATGTACTGCACTAATCAGGACAACAGTCCCTTTCAAAAGATTAGCAATCAGGTTTGGGTCTTAAAAAGTATGAAGATAAGGGAAAATTGGACAAAAAAGTACATACAAGAGCTTGTTAGAGCACCGCAAATTGTTCCGTGAAGGTTTCGGAACAATGGGACCAGCCGTAACCTATCTTCAGATCAAACTTTTTCATTGTTTTGGTGATCAAGCTGAGAAGGTGGCTGCACCAAACGACTTGTTGTTGGAGCTTGCGCTTCCTCCCAAACTGACTAACACTTGAC